TCCAAAAGTCCAGGAAGACTATGTCCACTGCTACCCCTGCATCTAAGGATTTGGTGACCTGGTCATAGAAGGGCACCAGGTTGGTCTGACAGGACCTGCCTCTAATGAACCCGTGTTGGTTGCCCCTAAGCATACTCTCCCCTGCTGCCCCCTCATGGACATATGCCAGAATAATTCTCTCAAAAAGCTTGCCCAGGATTGAGGTAAGACTAACTGGCCTATAGTTTCCCGGGTCCTCCTTCCTCTCCTTTTTGAAGATGGGAACCACATTGGCCCTCGATTAATCGAGTTTGCTGGAGCATGCTAATTAGTGCGCTCCAGTCATCCTCCATGTCTTGTGTATCAGCATCCCCGTGCCTCAAAATGGCAGCTGGGGCACCTTAACTAAAGCTTGTTTGACAAGCTTTACATGAAGTGCTCCCACCACCATTTTGAAGTGTAGGTATGCTGATACATGAGGCACCATGAGTGCTTTAATTAGCATGGCTCTTGGAGCCACTGTAATTAAAGCACCCCCCCCCCACACACACACACACACTCCCCTGGAGAATGTGTCTATCATCTATCAATGAAATATTATCTATATGAATGTATCTATCAATAAAATATTAAGCTTTCAGTTCTTTCTGGGAGTGACATTCATCCACAAAAATATCAAGTTAATGTGGACTTCCCATTCTAATGTTTATTAACTATGCTACAGGGCAGGGAGGAACTTTACCAGCTAAATATGCTTCGTCAGAGATAGGATACTGGCTTTGTCTCTAGGGACAGAAATTTAATAAGATGGTAAAAAAAAACAACAAAAAAACCGAAAAAAAACTTTGTTAAGGGAATCAGATTGGATTGCTACAGACTGGCTGCTTCGATATGCTGTGTGTCTTTGTAAAATACAGTTAGCTACTGCTGGAGTCAGCATTCTAGATTTCTGAATCGTGTCAATGACACTTATTGATGTTTTTGTTATGGCTTAACATTTTGAACACTTTAATTGTATGCTGAATAAACTAATGGAAACCTGATATCATAACAGATACTAGTCCATTACCTTGGCTTGGAGCTCAGCCTAAATTCAATTGACAAAAATGCTATTTGAACGATTAAAAAAAAGTAGTTTAAGCTTCCCAGGTGCATTTTCCTCACACAACAACACATTAATGCAGCATGTAAGAAACAATTTTACTGATAACTATAGGAAAGGCTTAAAATATTGATACAGTTTTAGTCTTAATTCATTCTGAAACCCCAGAGCAAGGTTCAGTTGATGGCAAGTCTTTAGTCTCTCAAGCATGTGGGCAGAATGCCTCTGATCCAAGCAGTCCAGTATCCTGCCCCCAACAACTGGCAACAGTAGATGCTTCAAAGGAAGGACAATAAAACACCCAAGAACAAAGACAGAATGACCAGACCACAGGGGGAGGTTTCTTCTAGGCTCCAAGCGATTGGTTTTTCCCTGAAGCACAAAAGTTAACACCCTCATTAAACCATATCCTCCTCTCCATTGCAGGTATTATGTATACAAATACACATATGCACCAGGTTGAGTTCTGAATCTTACTAAGCAAGTTCTTGGGATGAATGATTTCTTGTGGCAATGTGTCCTGCTGGCTAGGTGCAAGCTCAGTAACAAAATATGGCTTTAAATTTGCCGCCCATTAATTTTACTAAGTATCCCCTTGTTTAGTGCAAAGAATACATTTGAATGCCCAGGTCCCTGCTCTACCCTACCCATTATTTCATCATGTCAAACCCCCTAAGAGTGTTCTTACACCTTGTCCAATTTCCAAACTGCTGGCTACAGCCTGCAGGGTTTCCTCAGGGGACGCACTATCTGGTGACAGCTATAACACTCTCAGATTGCTAGTGCTTACCACTGTCAAGCATTCCCTCCTTGTTAATCGGAACTAAGATGTAGGAAGAAGGGGCTGAAGAGGTGGAGTCAGCAAGGTCCATTTTGACCAGCTGTAGCCGTGGTGTGGTGACCTGTGAGAAGCGGTAGAACTGGAAGGTGAAATACACAGTCTTCGGCCATGTCACCTCTGTGCCAGCCTGGGGAGTCCTTAACCAAAAAAAGAAAAGAAACCCACATCTGTGTTAATTTGTCATGTATCCTCCCCCCTATTACAGATTCCTCATTGGTAGTGTTCCGCGCTTTCAGTTTTTACTCATTTTCACCAATAAATTCCCTGATTTTTTAATTGAAGTTATTTAGTTTTTACTGATTTATACCTGATTTTACTGATTTACATCTGTTTTTCAGTTCACTCAATTTTACCAGGTACAGTAAAATCCCTGTTAACTGGCACAAGTGGGAAACAGCTGGGGAGTGCCAGTAAGCTAGAAGTACTCGAGGCACAGGTTTCTGGCTGGATGTAGGAGGGGGTGGCAGTGGCCACATGCGGGGAGGGGTGTGGTGGCTGCGCGGGGGCTGGGGGAGGG